GGCCGTTCCCCATTTAAAGCCTTCATGGATTCATACCAAGCAGTTCTGGATTCTTGCCTGAAAATGCTGCAGATCCACAAATGTAGAATGTTTTGCACCCAGCCTTTCCCCTCTAGCTGTTATCCTGTGCTTTGACCAGTTTTATCTAATTCCTGCAGTAATTCTGTAATGAGAGCTACTATACTGATGCCAGGATTTTTCAATACCATGTATCTGACCTTGTGCTCGATACCTCTGGCACATGCAAAATGGACAAGTGTGCAGTGTGCCCCTCCCAGCTTGATACCACCTTCCCATTTCATAAACATCCTCTGAAAATTTTCCCCCAAAGTATAAATGAAAACATAAGACAGTACCACTTTGCAGATAGTTTCCTGGGGATTCTCATTTCCTGCACCTGACCATCCTCATGCACTTATCACCATGGCGTAGAGACTGATAGCATAGAACTTGGGTGATGCAGAAGGACAGAGGATAATGAACCGATAGAAGAAAGGAGAATAAAAGTTATCCTCAAATTGAACAGTAAAATTAACACAATTAAAAAAAAAAAGACATGGGCGTTCTCGTTATTTTAGTGCAGTTTCAGCTATTGTAATAGGCATAGTGTATTTTCATGTGTCTTTACAGAGTAAACATCTAATTGCTTAGGAAAAGTAATACACATATTTTCAAATATTGTGTCATTAGGAGCACAGCTGATGCATTCCCCCTTTGCTTCAGTTTCTGTGTTACAAATCTGCAAGAACACTGGAGTCAGATGAGTTTGAAACATCTCCTTGCATTTAAAACCATCTCGTTGACATTTACCGTATTTGTCCTTTGCTGATCTACAACTCTAGGGTTCACCAGGAATGCAAAGATAAATGAAATAGATGTGGTTGCAGTTAATGATAGAATCTCCTAACAAACACAAAAAACAACTAAAGCATTTTTAATAGTTACTCGGGTACCTCAAACTTGTTCAGAGAATTTTTTAAAAGCGATATGGTAGAAAGTATCTATATTACTCGTAAATGAACTTGCTTGACCTCCCAGAACAAAGTAGTATTTTATCTTCAAGCCCTGCCTTGGGAAGTATCCTGGATTGCAGATAAGTACTTCACTTGTAGACCATTCCATCAAAAATATTCTTTGCAGATCAACTATTTTGGATTTCTAAACCTGTATTTCAGATTTCTAAAACTGAAGCAGCAAGCTGTGAGTACAGTGTCATTCAGAATATGAAGGAAGAGAGGATATCCGTGGGAAGGGCTTCATCTGTGCCAAAGAAAAAGTTTCCTTGCTGGACTCCATTATTAAACAGGCTGCCTTTGACTATTATAACCTCAGACTGCATCACCACACAGACGTATTCAATCATGCCTGAGTCTTGAACATTAACTTCATTACAAAACCACTGCTTGGGCTTCTAGCTTTTCAGACTCTCGTATTACAGCTAGCACCACCACGAGTTAACTTTACTCTGGCTGAGATCCAACTAGGAAGCATTGCACAGTCCACATTTCATTTACAGCACATTCGTCAGATTTTTTATTTCAAGAGGCAAAAGATAGCTTCTTACACCATTGCACTTGTTCAGTGCAACAGAAATAAAATAAAAATAAAAAAAAAACACCAAAAAAAGAAAATTCCATTTGACTAAATCTGTAACATCACTGACATTAGTACAACCTTGTGAATTTACACCAACAATGATGAGAAGCACGTCAGCAAGATTTGACTGATCTCATGTATAGAGTTGCTTAATCTTCTGGATGGATCGTTCCCACCAATCTTCCCAATGCTGAATTGTCAGCAGCTGAGCTGTACTTTCTTCCTTGATTTGGGCAAACTGCTGCTCGAGTTTACATTTGTATTTCTGTATAAACAACAACAACAACAACGGATAAAATTGGTAGTGATGAAATATAATTTTCCTTTGCCTAAATCCACTGTGTCAGAAGATTGCATACAGGCCACTTATTTTCTGCCTTTGACAACAGAACTATATGAACAATGAATTATTCACTGCCTTCCTTCTGTGTTCCTTTTTAAAGACTTCTGAAACTAAATTATCAGCAATATTTAAATTTTGCTAAAAATGCAGTATCTTCATCTCGCTTCCATTAGCTCCTAAGATTAAAGAGCTGCCTTCTCTAGAGAAGAGAGAGGAAAGCACGCATCTCAAACACAGAATGTACTCTGGCTCTTGCCAGAACTTCCTAAGTCACGAGTACGAACTGAACCATTACAAAGCTGTTAAAAAGGTATTTCACCTAAACAGAAACTTGTAGGCTACCATGAAAACCTCAAGGCACCTTTATTAAAAAGTCCATGCTCCAAAATATAAAATACTGCATTTTTAATGCAAGATACATTCAGGAAAACATTTGTGGTATGCATTTACTATATCACACCCGGCTGAAAAACTACATTTACTTCAAAATCATACTGTAATGAGGTGCTTAGGTACCATAACTAGACACATAAAACACTCATGCAAATTTATAGTTTTTATGGCATTTGCCATTGTTGACAGTGTATTTTAAATTTCCCTATTAATTTTTTTTTTTTAAATTAATTCAGTTCAGTGGGAGTATGATTATTTCCAGGACAGATGCATAAATAGTGATCATTTATTTCCAAATTATTTAATGTAAGAATATTCTCCTAATTGCTGAACACCACTGTTCTGCAAGCTATTGTCAGTGCAAGTCAGAGTCTCAGGGTTGTCTGGAAGGTGTTCATTTTTCTACCAGAATTAGTGAAGAAAGAGTGATAATTTTTGTGGTTAAAACTATGATCTGTGGTAGTTCAGGATGTAAGACAGGTATGAAGTATCTTACAGTCCTTCACCTTTTATGGAAAGCAAGCTCTATTGAAATGGCATTGTGACAGCAGCTACTTTTCGAATTGCGATACTGCTGAAATGCATGAATTGTCCTGTTTCTGACAGCATCCATGCTTCTCTGCTGAAACAATTCCCCATTGTAATGTATCTGAATGAGAGGGCTCCCTGAGAAACCAACTCTGCTTTTGACAACATCGCAAAGAGACATGAGAGGATTTCTACACATGGTTAATATGGCTCTAAGATCTGAAAACAACGTGCATATTAAAAACTTACACATAGCTATAATTTTCTTCTTAAAAAACCAAACCTACAACAGTAGCAGCCCCGCTCACAGTCCCTTCCCACAGACCAACCTTATATGCAGCATCTCTTGCTTCTACTGCTGCTACATGACCCAGTGTAGTCTTAGCTGTTGTAACTGATGCAGTTTCTCTGCAAAGAATATAGTCTGAATTGTCTGTAAGAGTAGTCATGGGTATTCCTGGCCAAGTCCTTTAAAAAGCCAAACCAAGCAAACAAACAAAAAACGCATGAGAGAGAATGTTAGAAAAGTGAGCAGATAATACTAATTCATGTTACTTGTACTTAAAGTGCAAAAGATTAATTAGGTTTTTAATCTCCACAAAAGGTTTACCCTAAAAACTACCTTATTTAGTACAACCACCTTTTCTTTTAAAACTTCAGGATCTCTGCACAGTAAATAGAATTCCTATCTTCTGAGTGAAAATAGACAGTACATTCATAGATCTAAAACTGTTGAATTGATAAACAGTGGCTAGCAAAGTGGCATAGCAATAATATTGAAATTGTATTGCTTTACAATACAATACAATATGTAGTTGGTTTTTATTTGGATCCATTGCTATTCTTTCTTTAAAATCATTGCCTACCCAAACTGCCCCATAACTAGTTAACGGTGTCACTAATGATGAGCATAGCATTCAGCAGTTTCAAAAAGTGCAGCAAAAAACTGAGGACAGGGCCTGATAGCAGTTTAGAGAAGAGAAATTACATAGAACAGTGTTCAGTATCTTCAAATATTACCTGCTCCCACGTTCAATTGACTGTTTAACTTCACAGATTTCTAGAGGAAGTCCAGCTTGTTTACGACAGATTAAAGTGGATGTCTTCTCTCTTGGTTTTTCCATTTCTGGTAGATAATAGAAGATATACTCAGCAGTAACAAAACAATGGCAGTAATACCATTGTTTTAAAGTAACTATATGCAGCTAGATGCTCTTTACTTTCAGGAAATAGCTTTGCATGCTTGATCATGCAAATGTTTCTTTTTAGAGTTCTACAGCATAAGTCTCCTCTTCCTAGGGAAAGTCTGCTGCAATCTTTGAGAAGGAAGCAGAGGCCTGAACAAGCAATCTCTTCTTTACTTACTTGCTACTTGTACGTCATCAATAGTGATACTTTCATCTAATTCCAGAAGCATCTCTTCGGTGAAGGCAGCTAGTGCAGAAACAAAGTTCTGAGCACACTCAGTAGCACAGTCCTGTTGCAACATTGGAGACAAGTGAGAGAAATTCCTTTGATAATTTGATCTCCTCTCCTTTTAGTTTAGCTCCAAAAGAACTACGCAAGCATCCAACTTTGACATTTTGCAGCAGCTGCAGATAACAAGGCTTTAAGTTGCACTTAAAAGGGTCTAAAAGTGCCTCTCTGCAGTATTCTTAATGCTACCCAGTTACCTAAAGTACAAAAAACTATAGAGTTCTGTGTATAGGTGCCCAGTAGTTGTATATTTGGGTTAAGCATCTAAACCTGATAAAAACACCTGTCTATAAATGCATCCTTCTCCCCAAAGTAAAGGCCATTTTGGAATTTGGATACTTTGCAAGTGCTTCAGCCAGGTATTATTCTAAAAGAGGGTATGTGTGTTTCTCTGTGTGTATGCAGAGCTAAGAGGAGAAGGAGATACTACTTTGGAATTAAAAATAGATATACTCTGCAGACAGCATAGAATTTTGGGTAAGTGGCCTGAGAGAAATAAACAAAGAGCTTTAATGCTGGGGAGCTGACCTTCAATAACTCTAGAGGATGGAGCAGGAAAAGCGTTTTGATTCCTGAATCTCTCCTACAAAATTCTGCTTATTCCGGTTCTTAATGTTGTGTGGAAAAATACCAATTACTTGCAGTAATGAAACACACACAGAAGAAACCCTTCCAGACATCTGTTGTCTGCAAGTAATTTAACTAACCAGAGGATGTCACTGTTGCTCCCGATTTAAACTTATATCCAGTAATTCTACCACTAAGATCCAAGTCATCTCTTCCTCAGTATGTTCTCTGAATGATACAAAAGATCATTACAATATTAGAATAAATCTATGCGTGTGTACATGTGCATATGCATTTATGTATATAATCTAATGTTGATACTACATAACTTAAAAGATATAGGAACAGGATTGCCTAAAACTGAACACATTTTCCAGTTCACTTTTGAAGGGGAGGGAAAATGTATGTACTCTCCTTTCCAAATGCAACACATACGTTCGTATTAAGCAATGGCTTTACAATTACCTGCAGCATCTGTGTGTTGCGATGAATACCGTCAGCTTCGTCTTTTTGCCTTTTTATTTCCTCCTGGCACAAAGCGTCCAGCTGAAGTAAGTTGTCTGGGTGTCCCAGGGAGGGACGTAATTGGTTCTTGTGCATAGCCTTTAAGTAAATGCGTAAGAAAGAAATGCCTTCAGTAAAGAATGTGTAATTGAGTCATAATAAGGAAGAAGTAAAACTCACACATTTTATATAAAAGTATTCAGAAAGAATGTGTATTTCTTGGCTGTCTAGAGATAAACCTTGCAGGGAAGTATCAACCAAATTGCCTACCTGCTGGAGAACAGTGCCTCTGATCTCACCTTGTTTTTTGTTTTCAACAGATAACAATCTCTCCTACCATGTTGTAAACAAGATATTTTTTATGTCTTTATATATGTATTTTTTCCTGAATCTAACTTAATACTCAGAGGGACAAAATCTCAAGATATTACTCTGTCATGTTTTCTGCATGATCTCCGTTATGATTCTGTTATCAGTTCTGATATTACCGGACAAAACATATCTCTTTTTTGAAAGACAGTAAATAATGATACTTCATTATCCATATGTCATAGTACCTACAAACGAGTGAGCTGTACAGCCATACCACAGTGTCATAGCCCTTAAAGAGTTTATAATCTAAGTGTAAAATGACAGGCAGAGATGTAAAACATTATAAAGAGGCAGCAGCCCAATGCTGGAAGCAGTGAGAGAAGGGACTGAGTTACTAGAAATACAAAGTTTCCAGTAGAACTGCACAGACTAACTGCAAACACAGAATCTAAATTCGTGGCTAGCTCAGCAGTAAGTGATTAAGCAAACAGTGAGATTAATAAAAAGAAAATTTTATAGTTCTGATGCATTTAGCATTGTTTACAC